CAAAGCAGAACACAGCTAAATGTATCAAAAGTATGTCTATGTAATATTAGAATTTTCTGAGACAATGAATTTTGATTTTTTGTTTTGTTTTTTGTTTTTTTTTTTCCAGTAAGAGGTTTTTATTTAATAGAATTTTTGGACCCAAAAAAATCGTAATATATCGCCTTGTTTACAGTATTGAAATATATCGGGATATATCAGGATATATTGGGATATACTGGGATATATTGGGATATATCGGGATATATCGGGATATATTGAGATATATCGGGATATGTCGTATCGTGACCCCTCTGTCATGATATGTATCGTATCGTCAAATTCTTGCCAATACACAGCCCTACAAAATACTACAGAATAAATAATAAACAAAAGCACAAGTCTTGACATTTTACAGATCAGCATTCTAAAATGTGTTGCAAAACCATAAACAAAGTATTTGATTGTATAATATTTGTTTTGTATTGGAACAAAGTTTACAATTTTTCCAACTCATGTCTTTAATCTCACCATATAAAACCAATTGGATGCTGCTCCCATTAGATGTGCTTGGACTGTAGACACTGCACGATCTGTTCGYTCATTTGCAAATCCACCATAAGAGATATACTTTTGGATTACAGGTTGGACATGCAACTCAAAACTGGTTGATATTTCAATGTTGAGTGTGTTAAAAACACGATTTCAACTGTTTGGTGTTCAACACTGGTTTGACGTTTATTTCAACATTTAAATGTATAATGTCAGTCTTATGCCAGCTGTATACCGACTTTAAATCTGTAAAAAGACTAAACAGAAAGGCTGCCTCCGCTTCTTTTCTCTGCACACGTTCAAAACGACAGATTTACGGTTTTCAAAATTCATGTTTACCACTATGGAGCTTTTTGGGGGCATTAGTTTTGTTCAAAAGAAAAACATTTTAAAACTGAAAAAAATATATTTGAAACTGAAAAATTAATTTGAAACTGAAAAATTTGAGTTTCAAATCTGTATTACTTAGTTTCAAAATAATTTTTCAGTTTCAAAATGTTTTTCTTTTGAACAAAACTAATGGCCCCCAAAAAAGCTCCATATACCTCCACCATTATAAAATCTTCTGAATTCCTTCGAGGAGTCGTCATGATGTGCCATACAGAAACACAGAGCTAATTTTGGCTGTTTTTGTCCAATCAAAGTTTGGCTTTACAGAGCGCGCCACGCGTTCAGCAGCAGGTGTTTGTTCCGCGGCTCTGCCAYCAGGGGGCGCCGATGGGCTTCAATACAGCGGTAGCAGGAAAAAAAAGGCAGTTTGTTTTTTAAGTGATGTAACATTTTTTTAACAACGAATCGTAAAAAAAATGAACTGTTGATTTAATGTAAGTGTTCATTTGATGACTTTTAAACATAAARCTAGTTGTTTTTGTTGCTTGTATTTCCAATTAATTTCATTTATCTAACTCTTACATGATCCAAGCAATTCTCTGTTAGTTTCCAAGCGTGGGGCTAAATAATAAGCACAGCAACCTGCTGTGAGTGTAAAATCACTGGCGCTCAGGACGCCTCCAACCTGCATAGAATTATGCAGCTTCCAGGGTTGGGAGAGGGGATTTATCCAGTGGGTCGAGGCTGGCTTGGTGGAGGAGGGGGGTGGGGAGAAGGCCTTTGTGCACGCCCCTTTTCATCAACCAGCGGGCCAAAAGAAAGAGAGGAAAGCAACAGCATCCCAAACCTCAGTCCTTGCAGCTCCTCCATCTGCACCGCGGAGCTGGACGGACCAGCCAGAATGTGGGGAGCTCTGCTGCTTAAAGTCCTCCTCGTCTTCATATGTTGTGGTAGATGGTGCCATTCTGAGGGTAAGTCTTTATTTCTCTCTCCAGCTGAATAAACCGAGGAGCCACATGTGACTGCACTTGTTGCAGACAGAGATTTATTTCTGAATGAAATAAATAGATAAATAAACAAAATGGTTTTGATGCAGGGACTTTAGGGCTAAAAGTTTGACCTCTTCCTTTAAAGGTTGAGCACAAAGCCTTCCCTCAGACAGACTGAGAAGTTCTCTTGAGGAACTTTTGCCTGTGCTTTACTGTTGCCAAGTAACAGAAAAGAGCATGTGACTTACAGACAATCTGTGAGGACCTGGGAGCTGCTGGTACAAACCTCATTCAGTGTGAGCAGGTTTTACACTGCACGCTCAGACTCTGAATCCAGATCAAAGAAGACCTTTATTTTCTAACTGAAAACAAACAGAAAAAAGCAAAAAAAAAAAAATGCTCAAACTCTGCTCTATGTGTAGCAATCTTATCTGTAGCGTTTGCAACCGGGCTCAGTCCTGCTTCTCGAACTGTAATCTGCTTTCTTTTTGCTCAACCCCTTAGCATTTAAGCTCCTTAGTGTGAATCAAGCAACTAATTGCAGCTGCTGCAAAATGGAATCATTTCTACTGAAGGAACAGTTCAAAGTTGAGGGGAGAATGGACACATATTTACTTGTTGTTTAAAAAAAAAAAAAAAAAAGGAAAATGGGAAGGGCACACAAGAACAAAAATCACCCAGCGTTGGTAATAAAATACATAGCCTTTTATTTGAATCGCTGCAGCTGATCTTGTAGATGAAATTTTGCTGATGGCAGCCGAAGTGAACAAAGTGATGACTCGACTGAACGCCCAGAATGTCGTCCGACTTTCTTTGTCAGCATGTTCACATTGAACATTAACTCGTTTGTAATTAATGAACCACAACAACCCAAACGTTTGAGCCTTTTCTTACAGCAGCTACCAAAGAGGGTAAGTCAGAATTTCAGATGTGCCACTTAAATGTGAAAAAACTTGTAGTTCTTCATGCGTTATTAAGAGGAAGCATGGCACTTTTCTCTAAATCTCCCCTTGATCCCAAACAAAAATCCTCCAGTTTGATAATTGTTTCTCGCCTGACCTTTCTGGAACTGATTATCCAGGCCTTGAGGTTGATACTGCAGCTAAATGCTTACACTGGCACTAATAGCTAATTTGACAATCTGAGGAGGCTTCGTGCTGTCAATTTATTAACCATCTTCAAAGAGTTGTGCTGTTCTAGGCGTGTTTAACTCGTGAAAGAAGTTGTTTTTCAYCAATCATTTGCCACTAAAATCTTAATAATTCCCAATGTGCAGAGTAAGAAGTTTTCTTGTGCGTTCGTGTGGAATCAAACCTGTTCAACATGCTGGTTTATCTGTCTCCTGCCACTGAAAGACGAAGGCAAGCGATAATGTTTTTTTCCAGAATCTGTGTGTGTTTGACTTGAAAAATATTAATGAAACTTAACCACAGGATGCCCATTTACAACTGATTAATTTCTGGAGTCAGTTCAATTCAAGATGGCCTCAGTTAACGCACAATAGCGGACACAAAAATGGCAACGACTCAGTCATTAAAAAAAGACATGGAGCTCAAATTTGAGGTGGTTGTGTCTGAGAGTTATTAACGACACATGGCCTGCTCTGAGCAAGACGTTTTGCGATATCACGTGAGATTTCACACATTATTTCACCAAAACAGCTACAACTSTGCTATATCCAAGAGAAAGATTTGGCCGAAAAGTTGTTGTGTGATATGCATTCCTTAAAAGAACAGTAATTTGTTACGTTTTATTTTTAGTTACAGTATCTGTAACAGTAACAAGATTGTTGTGTGTGTGTGTGTGTGTGCATGTTCAGTGTTTTCAAGGGCAGCACATGCATATAAAAACTTGTGCACGCCAGCGTTTTCCAGCTCCCCAGACACCTGTTTAGCTTCTAACAAACTGGTGAGCTGTGATTCACTGTGCACGGCTAAATCAAGTCGTCTAGCAATTTTGCACCGGGACAACTTGATTTTAAGATTTTTTTACACTATTTTTGAAAAGGTTTTTTTAAGAGACGTGCACCAAATTGTTGCGTATTCACAACCAGGTCAGGGCTTTATTCATCTCTCTCCTTACGTATCTCTTTTGCCTCCATGCCACTGCCAAAGTCCCGTGGGTTTTAGCAGCCTCTGAGAGCAGCGCTGAGAGCCAAAGTCACTTGTTTGGCGTTTGACGGCATTATGCTGCATTGATTACCATATGAAACAAGCAGCAGCACTTCGCTCTGACAGCATGGACGGGTCCGGCATCTCGTAGTGCCAGCAGCCGTTTTCTTAACTTCTCTCCTCTGACATTCAATGAGTGCAGAGGACTGTGCCAAAACAAAATGGCATTAATGAACGCTTACAAAACATTTTAGCCACTCCATACATGTCAAGTTTCAATAGCAGCAGGGGACAGGTGTTTCTTTTTTTCTACTTTAACGAGTAAACTTGTGATTTCTCTTCAATAAGATGTTTTTAAAGTGGTATTTCCAGTTATTAGTTTTTATTTTACACCATTGTAACTTCCCAGTTGGGAAGTTGTTTTGGGTGCTCCAATCTAATGAGAATTCCTCTGCTGCTTTTCTTTGTTCTTCACTTCATCCACAGATAGAGCAGTGCTCTCTCCCGCTGTGGGTTCAAGTTGCTAATTGAGGGGAAAACAAAACATTAAAGCACACWAAAGCCTTTGCTTAAATAGTGATAGAAATAAAGAGTATTCTGAAAAAAAAATTGAAGTGTGCCAAAGCGGCTACCACCACCAAAAGTCGGAATATTCTCGTTCTGATTGAGTCACCTGTTTCGATGCGTTTGCGTGGGGTTTTTAAAAATCTAAACCAAAAATCATGACACAAAACTTAAAATCTAGTAATCTACAACCAATCTGCTGTGCTTTTACCATCACCATTACTGTCTGACAGTCAAATTTAGACCATGTTCAGGTTGATCAGATTTTGTTGAGCAAGAAGTTACAATTTTTTTTAATTTTTTTTAAGTAACAGCGCTGTTCAAAGGTTCAGCTGCTGTGAACAGTCTCTGTCACCTTTCCCAGAAGTAATACTGTCAGAAAACACTGGCTGCATTTAGAATAGCCTCTAGCACAGAGGAGCCCAAAGTGGGGCCTGCGGGCCAAATTTGGCCCGCCAAGCCATTTGATTTGGCCCACCAACAGTTGCCAAACTTACAAGGTTGTAAGCTGTTATGTAGAAACATGGTATTTCCATTGGTCAAATGTCTATATAAAAGGGCTGTAGTGAAGATAGTTTTTATTCATGGTGCTGACTTTATCTTTGATTTATTAGGATTAAACATGAAACATGAAATGACAACAAGAAATATTTAGATCATATTTAACCCCATGTGTAGATTTGCACACTTTATAATGCCACAAAAACTCATGTTTTATCAATTTATGAAATGTCCCATGAGCCTTTGCTACTTGAACGTATGGCAGACTTTCGCCAAGTGCACAGACTAAAACAAAAGAGGGCTACTACATAGCTTGATCGTTAAAAATAAAGGACTTTACTTTAAAAAGTATTTCATGTATTATATTACTGCATTTGGCCCGCAGACCTGGATAGATTTTCATTTTGGCCCTCTCGGGGAAAATGTTTGGGYGCCACTGCTCTAACAGGTTGGTTTTACATTCTCAACCTAAGGCTGCATGCATAGCACCTATACACTCTTTCTTTGTTATATTTTTCTTTATTATAGCAGAATGATCACTTGTAACAGCTGAGCCTTTTAGTGTTATCTTCTTAAGCCTTTACATTTTACATCACAATGGTTTTCCTGTAGTATATTGACCAAACCTTTTTGTTCCTTGAATGAATCCAGTGGATTTTTTTTAAATAGGGAGCATCTATTTGCCACGTTTACCTGCTTTGATGCTTTAGATGGAGCAGAAACTTTTGGGATCACTGCCTCAAAACAACAACTCCCTTTGAATGGAGTAGGAGCAATTTACTGTCAGTAACTGAGCAGGAAAAAAAAGTTTTTTATGAACAACAGCTGATTGATTGCAGCCTGTTTTATTGAGCTGGTTGCAAAGCAGCTTGTTGGTTTGTTGGTGAAGTTATTAGTAGAAAACAAGGCAAACAAAGCTTTTTTAGCACAGTGGCTGAAGCAGTGACCCCTATAAATCCCAAACSTTTAAGATAATTAATGTTTCTCTCATGTAGCATTTAAAAAAGTCAATAAGCTTTTGGATATAGTAACAAATCATTTATAAGTTTGACCTTAACAAATATATTGTTTCGGCAAATGTACATATATGCTAAAATAAGCAAGTGTATTGGATTTTATTTAAGTTTGATAAATGCTTAGAATCAGGGAGGTATTGTTCTTTAATGGTTCAAGAAGTCAGGAAATAAACTCACTATATGGACCCCAAGCATGCACCACTAATCACCACTTCACACCTCTTCCTGTGAAGAATTTGGGTTGAAACGGCTGCGGTACCACCCAGTACCACTATTTATTCCAATTACGTTTCAGAGCAGACAGGAGCAGCATGTWCCATAAATCAAGCTGTCACAGAGAGCATCAGAAATGCACATTCCTGTTTGATTGGGTCTGATGGAGTGCTCTACCTCTGAACTACACCGCCTGAATCAATCTCCCCTGGAAAACGTCAGGGAAGGAAGAGAGGTGCTACCTTATCTCAGCAGATGCCACTCTGTGCAAACATCAAAAGGAGGCTCTGTGCTGGAGAGCGGTGAAGGTTGCGTAGCTGTCTGGGAGCGGAGGGGGCCGATGGCTGGCACGCTTGTCTCCAAGGCTTGTCAATGCTGTTAACAACGTGCTTCATCAGTGGAAGGCTTCCCTGAAAAGTTCAATGAAGAGATCACACGTGGCCAGTTAGCGCTCTGCGTACAAGTTAGGGAGGTTTAGCTATTATATTAAACTTGAGCTCAGAAGAAAAACTTGTGTGCAGGATGTGAACTGGGGCAGTTCCGCTGTGGGACAGGTCGGTGTATACCAGGGGACTGGCACTGTGATGGGACGTCAGATTGTGTGGACGACTCCGATGAACAAGGCTGCCGTAAGTTTCTCGTTATGTTGCTCTGCATTAAAGGAGACAYATCCTGCTTTTAAATCCTTTTTCACATTTGAATCATTCAGTTAGGGTTTATATAAAGTGGAACTGCAATGCCTTGGTTTGAATCCCTCCTTATTGTAACTCTACAAACCCCAATTTCAATTTTCTGAGGTGTGTCTCAGATCAACTCGATTTGAGGCTGTCTCTTTAATCTAAATGAGTCACTTCACACCTCACCTTCCTCCAGCTTCCAGAGCGATCCATTCTAGTTTGATAGAGGGGTTTACGACTATATAGCGGCACAGAAACATTTTATTTATAAATGAATTAAAAGATGTCAATGGAAGACTTGTCCATCCAGACTTACATGTTGGAGCCAGAGTCTGATCCAGAGCCAGAGGAGAATGAAGACGACCAAATTGTAGTTGGTAATCATACATTATTTGGCAGTTCTGTCACAAATACTGTAATTTAATGTAATCGACCAAAAAACATAATAGAAAATAGATCAAACTGTATAGATTGAAAAATAGGACCCAAACAGTCTATAAATATATATCTATGCAGTAGGGGTGCATGATACAGAAAATTCTCGATTCGGTTCGGTTCAATACTGTAGTCTCACGGTTCGATATTTTTTTGATTAAAAAAAAAAGAGAAATTTCTATGCCCTTTTAAACTTCTAATTTATTCAAATGAAGTATGAACATTTGTTCAACATCAAAAGTACAGTTTTTTAAATTAAATGTTGCTGAAACAGCAAGTTTCTCAGTGAATTTGCGCTCAAAATGCACCCTACACTCTAAGAAATGAAATGTTGGATTTACTTAACCCAATTTCTAACCATAGAACATGAGTATGTTGCTTTGAATTTACTCAACTCAGTTAAGTGGAACCAGCTGACATAACACAGTTAAGTAAATCCAGCATCTGTTTTTTTAGAGTGTAGGTGGTGTAATCGAACACAGATCCACTGATCCTTCAACACAGCATCTTCAGAAGACAAGCTRATAAAATAAATTTTAGAAATCTGTAATGTTCGATACGTAGTGTGTATTGAACCTAAAGCACTGTATTGAACAGTTCGATGCAGGTACATGTATTGTTGCACCCCTACTACGCAGCACTGGGAAACTAAATTAAAATTTTCTGCACTCCTAGATATTCCCAAGTACAGAACAAAATGCATTTTGCATGAAATGTCCCTGTTAATTATCGCAGGTTTATAATATTTCCTGTAAACATTTTCAGAGCAAGTAAATAATGACGTATGTGTGCATTCCGACAGCTCAGGTAACGTGTGACGACAGCCATTTCCAGTGTCTGAGTGATGGCGAGTGCATCCCGGGTGTGTGGGTGTGCGATAACGAGGAAGACTGCGAGGATGGCTCAGATGAGAGGCAGCACTGCCGTAAGTGTATCTTACAGCAGACTTTCAAAGTTTGCTTTAAGTGTTAAATATTTGCAGTTCTAAAGCATCTGTGACACTGATCATGATTAGCAGTATAAAAAAGGTTTTGGTACAAGATGGATGTGATAAAGACTTGCTATGGCTTCATAGTCACGCTTCAGTTCCGTCTCAGCTGGCAGGACGTGCAGCAGTGGCCAGTTCAGCTGCACTAACGGGGCGTGCATCCCAGAAGAATACCGATGTGACCACCTGGCAGATTGTCTGGATGGATCTGATGAGAGAAACTGCAGTAAGTCTTCTTCAGGATGATCCTCCTTCCGTTCTTTTTATTATTACTTTTTTCCCTTTTATCTCGGGCTCCTGTGGCATTTTAATCAATTTGTTAAGATTAAGAGGCTCGATGACTGACAGAACGGGCCACAATATGCTTTTTGTTGTCAGAGGTTGATTGCAGATTCTTTGGTGGATTAGTCAAGCTGAAGTTCAGCTGCTATGCCATTATTGTGCCGACATGGTAGTCTTGCAGCACTGCATTCTGTGGTAATCTCACAGTTGCATAAAGAATGCTTGTGGCATCCAGTGCTGTTATGGTAGTGCTTTTGATTTTCAGTCTGTTATCCCTCCCATTCACATGGCTTTTCACGTGTTAAAAATCTGGAATAAAAAGCACATWTGTCAGGTTCATTTCAGTGCATAACGGTGTCCTGGTGATGGTTTAATCTTACAGATTACCCACAGTGTACCCAGATGAGGTGTGCTAACGGGGCCTGCTACAACCGGACACAGCGATGCGACCATATTCTTGACTGCCGCGATGGTTCTGAYGAGGCCAACTGCAGTGAGCAGTGTTAAAATTAATAAAACAAAGGCATTACATCACCATTAAAGAAACTGCTTTCAGCCTCTTTGTATTCTGTTTCCTTCAGCGCAGCACTGCAATCCAGGCTTGTTTCAATGTCGTAATGGACTGTGTGTTCCTCAGCGGTATGTGTGTGACCATGACGATGACTGTGGAGATCGAAGCGATGAGCTAAACTGCAGTATGTGGTGCCTCTTAGTGTTTTCTTTTTTTTACACCAACCTCAATTTCAGTCTAAAACACCCCCAGCAAAGCCTGAATAAATAAAGATGTGTCATTATCGCTTTAACCTGCAGCGTATCCCACATGTAAAGGGAACTACTTCTCTTGCCCCAGTGGCCGCTGTATCCACCAAGTGTGGCTGTGTGATGGAGAGGATGATTGCGAGGACAACGCGGATGAAAAAGGCTGTGGTATGTATACAGTAGCTGAAACTGAGTAATTGTATATAATGTTGCTTTGTGCTTTTGGAGGCAGAGGTTTTTGGCTGGTTAAATAGCTCTAAAATGGGGAAGAAAGAACTAGGGCTGTTGAAACCTGATTCATCTTTGGTCTCCATGGTTGGTTTGGTTTAGCAAGACGCTATGCCTGCGCTCCTTTAAGTGTGTTATTCAAACGCCTCTTTGTGGCACAAGATTGCGCAGCCCCCCTAAAGGGCTTTAGAATTCCCCCACATGGTTGTGAAAAGTGTGTGTTTTTTAAAGGATGGAAGCCTTCAGAGCCCCCATGTGCCCCTACTGCTCCAATCCCCTGCATCAGCTTTTAAAGTGACAACGTCCCAGTCGCCAGTTTTTAAAATCCTGTTCCAGTTTAGAAGCACTTGTAAAACTTTAACATTTTTGCTTTTGATTTTTGTATTTAGCGTAAGGTTGAAAAGATGGCTATTTTTGTGAATGCTTATAAAGTATTCATACTTTCGAGATAATTTTTCATCACAAATCTTGTTTCACAATTTTTGTACTGTTCCAAAAAAATTTCAAAACTTTTAGCGCCTACAGACGTTTCAGCTATGACTTTCAGCATGTTATAGTTTTTGAGATAATTAGCTTTTTCTGCCATGTTTTTCTTATTGAAAATGAACGTATCTATTTTCAGCATCCTTAAATCCTTTAAAATGTTCACAAATCTTTAATTTTTACTTTTTGTAGTTCTGCCTTTTTAACTCGTTTTGTACTCATTTCTGTTTTGTTCAGTTTTTATCTGCTTTTTAGCTATACTTCTGAACTTTTCTGCTAATTTTCTTTTGCTAATTTCAACTTTTCTGTTTCTTTTAGCTTCTTTCTGTTATTTTAAGCTTTTCATGCTTCTTTCAGCTGCTTTCTAATTTCAGATGTTTTCTGTGTTTTTAGCTAACTTGACCTTTTTCCCGCTAGTATTAACTTTTTGTGATAATTTCAGCTTCTTACTGCTTAATTCAGCAAACATGCTCTTTCTGTTTCTTTGTGCTAATTTTTAACTACTTTTTTGGCTATTTTTAGGCTGCTCTCAGCTTTTTTAGAAAGTCAGCAAAAAATCTTTCAACATTAAGCATTCACACTGCATTTTTGCAGGAAATGCCAATTCTTTCGTTCATCTTGTTTTCAGGTAACMTACCACGGGAGTGTTACCCAGAGGAATGGCCCTGTCCTTCCTCAGGTCTGTGTATCCCCATGGATAAAGTGTGCGATGGGAAGGCCGACTGTCCTGAGGGAGAGGATGAAACAAACACCACTGCTGGACACAATTGCAGTTAGTACTATCCCAGTTATTATCAGCTTTTTGCAATGTACACATATATTTATATTTTTTAGAAGACTGTAGAAAACCCACCATTCGTTTGGTTTTTCCATTGATCAGGTATCTGGAGATGTGCATCTTTGAGCTGTGAGCATCACTGTCATACTTCCCCTGAGGGAGGAACTTGCTCCTGTCCTTCTGGATACATCGTCAGCAGTAATGACAGTCGATCATGCATAGGTAATTATACTTTATTTACTTTTTAAATTAAAAATAAATAGTTATTTCAGTGGTGGCTTGAATGCTGCCTTAAATCTGAATTGAGCTCTGTTGGTAAGATAAAGTTTATAAGATCTCTAATTTATCCTGCATACTTGTGATATTTGTATTACTTTTGTTCTTCATCGTGTGGTTTTTACCTCCATCACGCTGAAGACTTTGATGACTGCTCCATGTGGGGCGTGTGTGACCAGCTGTGTGAGGACCGGGTCGGCTCTCATCGCTGCAGCTGCCGAGACGGCTACATTTTGGAGCAGCATAGATACTGCAGAGCTGATGCCTCGAGTGAGTGGCACTCTCACATGCAATATGCTCTGTTTGAGTGAGCGAGTGAATGAATCATCCATCCAAATGAGGTGCACTGGCATAGACCCAACTCTACGTTTTGGCAGCCTGTGTGTGGAGTGTCTGTGCTTCTTTCTGGTGCATTGTTGCRTGCTAAATGTTGTTATAGTAAGTCTCTTGTCTTTGTCACACATGGAAAGAGTGTTGACCAAGAGACTGACCTCTCTGAATTTAGCTTTGGTTAGAAAGGCAAGTAATGGTAGGGACTTGAAACTGTCTGCCTTCCCTCATCGGTTTTAAAACACATTCTGTAAATATCCACTGATTATTTTGATTCRGATTTTAAGGAAAGTGTTTCTTGTTTTCTTTTGCAGCTGGCGTTCCCTCCTTAGTTTTTTCTAATGGCAGAGACCTGGTTATCGGTGACATCCATGGCAACAGCCTGCGTACTTTGATTCATTCTCAGAATAGAGGGGTTGCAGTGGGGGTGGACTACCACTATCATTTCCAAATGATCTTCTGGACTGATACCATCCAAAATAAGGTGCCTTTTTAAAAAGTATTCTTATGTTTTTTACTTTATTTTTTTACTGATATGTCAGTGGTTTGATATTTTATAGTGAGTCGTTTTTTCTTTTAGATTCTTGAGCTCGACTGGTACCGGCCTGAACCAGATTCTTTTAGTTATCTTTTGAAATACCAGCAATGCTGATACTATAATAATGGCTTTTGGCCCCAAAGAGGCTGGGCCATAATGAAGGGAATCAGATATGTAAGAGAATCCAAATAGCTTAATCTTGAAGCCTGCCTGATGGGCTGGTATGATGGTCACATACCAAGATGTAATTTTTGTAACTCAATCTTGTTCAAACTAATCATGCTGTATTTATTTTCAGCGGAACTGTCCACTTATGTGCATTCTTTTGCAAGCTAAAATGTCTTTGTTCAGTTTGCCGGACTTCTCATTGGTTTGAACTGTCGTCTCTTGTCTGAAACGCTAGAACATATCTCTGACTGGGCATCCGCGCATATTAGCCACCTTAGTGSCCACATGTCAGATTAAAAGTAGGGAAAGCACAAACAGGGCATGTGAATGCAACCAGAAAGGTTAAACTACCAGGCTATTTCCACGTCTTCAGTTTCTCTTTAAACAGGTCAGTTGAAAATCCTGCTTTTTAGATGTCTGGATCTGGTTTCAAAAAAGGAGCGCTGCTAAAAGCAGTCCCCCCTCAGCCGGCCGCATGGTGCCAAGGCTTCCAGGCTGAGTGAGTGGTCCCGTCATACAGTGGCAGGTCCACAAGTTTTCGCTATAGGCTTTGAAAATTATTTTTAAAGAGAAATTTTAAGCAAACAAACTTTGTCATTTTTGCTTACAGCTATTGACTCTTTACAAAAATGTTTAATTGATTGATACAAATAAAAAGTATTAAAATATACCTTTTCAGCATTTGTCAGTGTTTGGAAAATATAACAGCATTTAGAAAGTTGTCTTTTGTCAGTAAACCAAAATGCTCTGCTTAGTAAGCACTTACTGCAGTCACAAATTTTTATTGGGTGTTCAGTGATATAACTTTTTAATTTTGTGTTTAGAGATTGGGGTGGGGTG